TAGAAAGAACGCTTGCTCTCTGTAATGACTGATCTTTCTAAAAGAAGAAAATAATTATAAAAGAATGAAGATTAATAATAACACATATACGTATAATACCTAATTAACTTTATCATCCATTGTAGTAATCGTCGCTTTCGTCATCCGAATCGTCTTCGGAAAAAGGAACAAGCGGAAAACAAGCATTCAGGAAGTCAGAAGGTCCTTTCAAGTCCTCAATACGACGCCCACAACCGAGGAACCATAAAATTGCCATCGTATGAGCATGTGGGCTGGAAGTCAGAAGGTCCTTTCAAGTCCTCAATATGACGCCCACAACCGAGGAACCATAAAATTGCCATCGTATGAGCATGTGGGCTGAGCTAGCTAGAATGTGGTGGCCCTTTTCGAAATGGAGGAGAAAGGTGCTCGAGAGGTGGCGAGTCGGAGCTAGAGCGTGCAGCGTCAGAGAGGACCTGAAAGGGAATGGGTGATCAGAGAGTATGGAAGGTACTCTATACTCTCTATACTAATCTATACTATACTACTTCTATACTCTCTGTGGGTGATCGGAGCTCGCGACCGCACTTATTTATATGTGCGTGAGCGCGGGTAAGCATGACGTGCTTCGCTCTCATTGGTTGGAGACGATGGTGCCAGGCACCAGGGGCTTCGCTCTGATTGGCTGGTGGCGATGGCGCCACACAGCCCCCCAACCAGTGGCGGAGACACTCAGAGACGAAGGCGGCGGAAGAGTGCTTGCGGCGGTTCCAGTCCTCCCATTTTTTCTCGAAACATCAGGTCCACGAACGATCTGTAAACAAACTTGGATCTAGCTTCGAGGGGAGCTTCGTCCCTGTACCGTAGAAATGTCTCCTCAGACATCAATGTCGAAGTAAAACACTTGATGGCTGCTTCTTCGATGGGCTCGATGCTGACTGTTAACTTCCAGCCGCGGCAGCGGCAAGGGCAGTCGCTGCGGGTGCAGCGGACTGCGGGGCCGGGACAGGAGGTTGAACAGAGGTTGCAGGCTGATCAGAGTTGAGGTGATACAGCGGCAGGGAACAAGAATCGGCGTACCAGAGGTGGTGCTTGGATAGAAAACGGGAGCGGCGTCAGGTGCTTGAATTCTGTTAGGATTTCGAACTTGCCACCGGCGTCAGGTGCTTAAATTCTGTTAGGATTTCGAACTTGCCACCGGCGTCAGGTGCTTAAATTCTGTTAGGATTTCGAACTTGCCAGCGGCGTCAAGTGCTTAAATTCTGTTAGGATTTCGAACTTGCCACCGGCGTTCCAGGGTAGTTTCCAAGATAGCGTCCTCAACATGTTTGCGTTCCTGTGGACAGAAAAACGGGTTCTGCATGGGCGCAGAGGACGAGTTGGTTTGGAGACGATGGTGCCGGGCACAAAGGGCTTCGCTCTGATTGGCTGGTGGCGATGGCGCCACAAGCACATGCACCCACCGTCCGAGCATCATTTTTACAAGTGCAGTAATACGCAATAACTGACTGAGTTACCGGTCGGTCCTCATCAATTAAGATAAAAATGTTGTAGTATTTTTCTGATTTATGGCGCGATAGTAGTTTGCACTTAATAAAAAGTGGGTTCGACACCTGGAGTCCGTATTTGGCGAAATCTGGCGTAAGCTGATCTTCACACATCAAAAATTCATATTTGCCGGCATCAAAATGGTCTGCTGTATTCGATCGTGCCAGACACAATTGATATATGTGCCAGAAAATTTCCGGAACTGTTCGACGGTCCATTTTGGAAAATTTGAGAACTAATCAGAGGTCAAAGTCTCAAAATTTTTAGTCCGTCGTGTAAGGGACTCGTCTGTTACGAGTTTCTGCAACAAATTCGGCTCATTGAGCTTCTGAAGGGCCGAGGGGGGATGGGTCCTCACCCTGGGTGTTGTTTCTAGTGCTTGGGGTCCTTCCGACACCGGTGTTGGCTCGTTGTATTCCGGGGGCTCTCTTATCTCTTCATTTCAGGACTTACCGAACCCAAAATCTTCTTCTGCCACGTCGTTTCCATACAAACTCCCAATACGCCGCAAGTACCTTAAATGTCCATGTTAACCAAATCACCTCATCATCCATTTTTTAAGGACACAATTTTTAATTCAAATCAACTTTAACATATATCGAGTCATTTTAACAAAATCAAAGACGGCATAATATCATTTATCACACAGCCAATTTTAAAAAAAACGCCAAAACCTAACCTAGAAACCACGATGTTTACAAATTCAAATTGGAGAACACTCATTGGTCCAATAATAAAAATTGATTTGCCGCCTTTTTTATTTGCAAGCAACGTGTGAACATGTCTGAAAATGGGATCGGGCGTCAACACTCAACGATGCACTGATGACTTCCATTTTCGCCTCCCATTTGCTACGTGGGCAGACAGCATTTTCCGTTTCGTTTTCTTTCTGGAAATCGTTGCCGCTGTCACTTTCTCTTTGATTCTTGTCGCCGACATCCTACGCAATTTTTGAATAATATAAATACTCAATTACATTCCAATTATACATTTAGTGTAAGGGTTTCAGATGCATCCTAAGTACAAACTTGTTTCGTCGGGACATTTGTAGAAGGGCGACGATTTCGGCCTCGCTACTTCTTCATTATCGCCATCACTGTATACATACAGCTGAAAAAAGCGTTGTGAATAGCACCAGCAATCTTCAAGTCCGTGAACAAGTGCACGTATGTTTGTGCAGATACGGTGCTTTTGAAGAGGCCGAAGCGTTTAAGGCTACTGTCGGTAGCTTCAACCACACACCGTTGCTTGGTACA